GGAGTATGGGTAGTACGCTTAAGCGCCATCCATTTTCAGGGCTAGTTCATTCGGCAGGTGAGTTGTTACACACTCCTTAGCGGATTCCGACTTCCATGGCCACCGTCCTGCTGTCTAGATGAACTAACACCTTTTGTGGTGTCTGATGAGCGTACATTCCGGCACCTTAACTCCACGTTCGGTTCATCCCGCATCGCCAGTTCTGCTTACCAAAAATGGCCCACTAGTGTTGGTACATTCGAATGTCCACGTTCAATTAAGTAACAAGGACTTCTTACATATTTAAAGTTTGAGAATAGGTTAAGGTTGTTTCAACCCCAAGGCCTCTAATCATTCGCTTTACCTCATAAAACTGAATTCAACACTGCTATCCTGAGGGAAACTTCGGCAGGAACCAGCTACTAGATAGTTCGATTAGTCTTTCGCCCCTATACCCAAATTTGACGATCGATTTGCACGTCAGAACCGCTGCGAGCCTCCACCAGAGTTTCCTCTGGCTTCACCCTATTCAGGCATAGTTCACTATCTTTCGGGTCCCAACAGCTATGCTCTTACTCAAATCCATCCGAAGACATCAGGATCGGTCGATGATGCACCCTTAAGGGTTCTCACCTCCGTTCACTTTCATTACGCGTATGGGTTTGACACCCAAACACTCGCATAGATGTTAGACTCCTTGGTCCGTGTTTCAAGACGGGTCGCTTACAACCATTACGCCAGCATCCTAGCCGAAGCGCGGTCCTCGGTCCAGGTAGGCTGCATTGCACCTGGGGCTATAACACTCCCCGAGAGGAGCCACATTCCCCAGGCCTTTATCCAACCACCCAGACCGATGCTGGCCTGAGCGCGGCCGAGTGCACCGGTGAGAACACCGGATGATCGACCGCGCGCAAGTCTGGTTGCAAGCGCTTCCCTTTCAACAATTTCACGTACTGTTTAACTCTCTTTCCAAAGTGCTTTTCATCTTTCGATCACTCTACTTGTGCGCTATCGGTCTCTGGCCAATATTTAGCTTTAGATGAAATTTACCACCCATTTTGAGCTGCATTCCCAAACAACTCGACTCGTCGAAAGAGCTTCACATGGGCGAAGGCGACCGGTCACAGACGGGATTCTCACCCTCTATGACGTCCTGTTCCAAGGAACTTAGACCGGAGCCACACCCGAAGCATCTTCTACAAATTACAACTCGGACCCTGAAAGGGCCAGATTTCAAATTTGAGCTGTTGCCGCTTCACTCGCCGTTACTGAGGCAATCCCTGTTGGTTTCTTTTCCTCCGCTTATTGATATGCTTAAGTTCAGCGGGTATCCCTACCTGATCCGAGGTCAACCACAGAAGTTGGGGTTCTGGCAAGCCACCGCGGGGCGCTGGAGCGAGAGATGTACTACGCTCAGAGCCCAGCGGCACCGCCACTGATTTTAGGGCCGGCCGCGACGGGCAGGGCCCAACACCAAGCAGAGCTTGAGGGTTGAAATGACGCTCGAACAGGCATGCCCTGCGGAATACCACAGGGCGCAATGTGCGTTCAAAGATTCGATGACTCACTGAATTCTGCAATTCGCATTACTTATCGCATTTCGCTGCGTTCTTCATCGATGCCAGAACCAAGAGATCCGTTGTTGAAAGTTTTAACGATTGTATAGTACTCAGACGACACTAAAAAACAAGAGTTGGGGTCCTCTGGCGGGCGCGCGCCAGCGTGAGCCGGCGGCCGGGCGGCGGCCCGCCAAAGCAACAAAGGTAACGACGGCACAGGGTGGGAGATCTACCCGTGAGGGCACGAACTCTGTAATGATCCCTCCGCAGGTTCACCTACGGAGACCTTGTTACGACTTTTACTTCCTCTAAATGACCAAGTTTGACTG